ACGGAAGGAGATTGATCAGTTGAAGCGCCGGGGTCATGAGATGAGAAATAACCTGGAGAAAAGACTAACAGTAATTAATGAGTTTTTTCAGAGAACATTGTTCCAGAAAGAAAAGGAACCATTGGAGAAGAGGAGCCTAAAACAAGGCTTAAGTAATGACACAACATCTCAAAGTGACTGTAACAGCAAAGCACGAGATAAAAAATACATAGAACTCCAACAACTTAAGATTCAGATGCTTAGTGAGATTGAGAAACTCCATGTCAAAGAAAAAGTGTCGATGACTCTAACAACTAGCAACAAAGCCAATCAAACATCCCAGGTGGATATAACGACAGAAGATACAATAGTGCAGGTTAGTGAAGAAGCTTCTACCAAAATGTATCAAGAAACTGAAGCAGCCCCAGAAACAACCAGCGGACTTCTCTGTCAGCTCCGGCATTACTGCTATCGTTGCTGCTGCCCCTGCTGTGCTTGTTGCAAGCAAGTGTGCCCAGAGGAGAAATGACATGACATGTCTATTTTAGGTCTATTTCTTTAACCATATCCTTTAACCACATGGAATAGATGGATAACCTGAACCTGAACGTTTTGAAACAGGTTATTTGTTTTAGTCAGATATATATCAAAGTGTTGGGAAAAATTTAAAACTGCCAGCCTGATGTTAGGTTTTCTACTTTATAAGGATTGTTTAAATGGAATTCAACTATTTTTGTGACATTCTTTTTTAAAGCATCATGAGTAATAACAAAAAGTAATATAATAACTTGAAACAAAATGTGTGAGGCTTTTGTTTCAGAAAATGCTTTACCTATACTGGCTAATACACCATATTATATTTTTGCATAATAAGACTGAATATTGAATTAATGACTGAATGAATTTTAAAACTTAGTGTTTAATTTTCTGTGTGCAATTCCTTATTTAAACCTTAGTCCTTGCATATTACAAATTAAACATATTATATTAATCTTAAGAATCCACTGTTCACTTAATTACAGATTTTAAGAGCTGACCGTGTCAATTTGATTTCATTTTTCTTGTTGTTGCTGGTTAGTTTTTCTCGCTCTTTAGAAATGTTTTTAAAAAAACAGCCCAATATACTTTTATGCTTAAATGTAAATTCACAAACACATTTGTTAATCATTTATGTCTTTGAACAAACCTTTTATTGTCAAATAAAATTATCAGCATATTTATACTTGTATGGCAAGTGACTTTTTTTAAACATTAATATAACATATCAGTCTACTGTGCTCTTTTCTGTATTCCACTTATACTGTTTCCTGAATTGTAAAATCAGTTTGTTTACAGTTAAGAAGAAAAAGAGAAATTGAAGCATTCATTCAAATTAGATAAGATACGACAAGATGCTATTTAATTTAATAAAACTGTTTACATTGCAGTTTTATGCCACACTGGCTTTACAATAGTATGTCTTTAGTATAATCTGGCGAACCCTGAGCATCTTTCCTAAATTATGTTTAGTAAAAAATATCTAGTTTGGGCTCAGAAATGCTTCCAAACTTCGCAGAACAGCCTGAAAGTAAGCACATAAATTTTACACAGATCACTTTGTGTAACTGTGTAGCTGTGTGATAGAGACTGCATACTGTGTACATGTTGATTGGAGAGCAACCAGGGCACAATTGCATTGGTGGCAGACAATAAATTCCTTGAATCCCTGAAATTAAATTCTCCAAACTGACCATCAAGCAAGGAGCGAGGAAATGTCAAATAAGAGACTTGTGATGTATCCCAGGTCTTTGATCTACTTTTGTGCAGGGCAGGCCTAATGAATCCTGGCCTTTCTCTAAAAGATGATATACTGGAAAGTGTTGATTGCTGGGATTTAGCTTTTAGGTGAAGTTGACATATTGTGTTTACTTGCACAAGAATCTGAAAGCAAAATGAATTAGTGTGTGTTTGGTCACATGAACTGACAACTATGGCAATAACACTGGTGAAGGACAGGATGAAGAGACAAAGGTGAAACTAATCAGGGCGGGGCAGACAATCAAAACTGGAAGGAAAACGGAAAAAAAAGACAGGAAGAGAAGTAAAACAGCTAAAAGAGGAAGGACTCTTTCAACATAAAACAGGAAACAACCCAAATAAAACCCAAAAGCCTGACAGTTAGTTTATAATTTACGAGTTCTCTTTGCCATTACAAAGAGTTCTTCAAGAGCTTTCATTTGATATTAATAATAATTTTTGGTTTTCACCCCCACGAAAAATACAACAAAATCACTGGGAAGATGTCAACTCATGTACTACATATATTTTTTTACATGTGTTTTATGATATTTGCAAAATATATTTATATGTATTGGTATTTACAGGACAAGAATCTTCAAATCAAATTTGTTCTTACAACACGATTTCTTGCAGGATTCAGCAGATTCTATACATAAATGTCTAAATGTGAATTAAATCAGTTGAATATTCAGATATGTGTAGTTTTTCCCATTTAACAAAATCTTATTTGTAAATACATTGTAAATAATCTATGCTACTCTCTCTCCATAAATCTAGGCCTTAAAAAAGCATACAAAGATGGAATAAATGGTTTGCAGTTGTCCTAAATGGGTGCTTATGGGTGCTCTACTTATTAAATGATAAATAAGCACTTCCAAAGCATCACAGCAGCACGATGATGAAGTAGACCTGTGGGCTGCAGCTCAGTACTAGCAGATGACCAGGTGCCAGGGCCCCTCAGCAGTGGAACTCGTTGCCTAAATATCTGTCAAGGTTAAGGCTGGCAATATTTAATCCTTTTGTTATCAAATACCAAGAAAATACCAAAACCAACAGTCCTATTCCCTAATCTCTGTGGCTCTTAGCTCTAAGTCCATTGCTTCTCTACTAAATACATTAATCTTTAAAAACAACAAAGAGCCCACAAATATAGAGTTTAATTTTTACAAAAGGCTCAGCAATATGTAAATACAGCTGGTCACTCTAGTTCTTAGGTAACGCTAGTTAAACAGGAGGAAAAATGCATTTGTTGGGAACTATTTTCAGCTGCTGATTTATCCACATTTAGTGCTCTGGTGAGTACAACTACAGTGTGTGTGTGTTCAATGAAAGACCATGTCACCCAGTGCATCGGTGTGACTCACTGATGGGGTTTTAATTGTTTTTGGACAGCAATGGAGGAAAAATATATAGCAGAGTATAGTATATGGAATACTAGTTAGTAGATACAGTCAGGGTTTGGGATTACCTTTAAGTCCCTCTTTAAAGTTTAGGTGTATAACATTGCCACCTAGTGGTAGGTAGGTATTAACTGGTAAGTGAACTTTCAAGTCTTTAATTTTGAGCTTGGTTTTGGAACCTGTCCTGTGAACTGTCACAGTGGGTGCTGTGCAATGACACATACCTTGTAAAACTACATGCAAACTGAAGGTAGGTTTTCATGGTCCACATGTTGCACAGACAGACCAGGACCCCAGGACTTAGGGAAGAGAGAAGAGAGCCCTCTGTCCTCTTCCAATCCCAGAAATGGACAGGAGAAAGTAAATAGTCTCCCCTTTGTAGTCCCATTTCCTCATATTCACCCTCACACATGCAGTACCCACTTTAGGTTAACAAACTCATCCATACTGCCAGTGGGGATGAATGAACAAAGCATCTGCAGAAGGACAGGTCCACTAAAGCAAAATAAACGTGTTTCTCTATTGAGGTTTGTATGGAAGAGGAACAAATTTAAAGAATCATTTCATTAAAGCTGGAATAGGTACTTTGTCATATTTGCTGACACATTCACTATATCCTGACAGTAGTACATTAGACAGATAATGCGAGAAAAAAATCAGGTCCCTTTGGCTCATTGTAGGGCTTCCTATGATATTTGCAAGAATTCACTGGTCTGAACAAAATCAACCAATCAGAGCCAAGAAAGATCGTTGATTGTTGAGTTTTATTCCCAGAGTGCCATATACAGAGGCTTTGGGACCCTGGGAGACTAAACAATCAACTAGCTTTCAAGGCCTCAATCCAAAGTGTCTTTATATCTTTCTTGGCTCTTTCTACTACTGTCAGGATATAGTCCAAGTTTTAGCAAATATGAACAATGGATATTTTCAAAACATGTATTCTTACACAGTACCTTAATTATTGTAGTCATAAAACTTAGGAGAAAATTAAAAAGGGGTCTACTGTACATATCAGCTTTTAATTTTTCAAGCATTGAACAGCCAATAGCAAGATGAAAGACAATATCACAATACACATGTTCATAAGTCAAAGCAGATTTATTGTTTAAGGTTGTGTTTGATAGCAGGTGAGGGGAGTCCATTATGGGGTGCCATATACCTGATTTTAAGTTATGTGTCCCATATCTTTAATCAACCTAGATAGAATTGATTCAATTTTTAACTCAATCTCTGTAAGCAAATGCATGTATACAAGCTAATACATCACAGACCTGTATGCACTCAGTAACACACAGACCTCCATGCACACCCAAGACATTCAGACATGACTGAGGAAAGAAAAGAGCAAATAATAGACAATATTGCACTGCAGAGAGAGGCCATAGAACAGTTTTAATATGATTATCATTATAAATTTCATTCACTAATCCAATGAGAAAAAGTACAGTGTGCAACGTTCGCAGCCACAGTCCTGCCAGGCCAGTGATCATTAACAAGTACAGATGATCAGTTTCACACATGCCTGTTCCAGATGGTCAGTGGACACATCCACAGATCTATCAGTTGGTCAGGTGTGACAGAAACCATGTCTCAAAAACCCACATACGGTCTAACATGACTGTAGTCATTCAACCAGAACACATCAGACCTGACTGATCACACCTTAGTGGCAAAAGCATGAATTCCCAGTCAAAAATAGCATACAGATTTGTGAGTTAATCATATCCTTTTTCAATTTTTTAAAGACAACTAATTTGTAAAATTTCCATTACAATCAGTTGTTCACATATAGTGTAAGGCAGGACTTGCCACAAGGGGTGCTATCATCTGCATGTGCTGTAACTGCAACATTTTACAATTCCGTGGCACAAATTTGCAAAATTCCAAATGCTATGGCCTCAAAATCTCACACAGCACACAAAGAAAAAAAAGACAAAACTTCCGTATAAAAATGTCATACATCACACTGTTAGTTTATCTGAGCATAATTCTAACTTATATCACTGAATTTGAATCGTTGTTTATTTGAAAATAAATGATCAAATAATTCTGTTAGTAACTTATTCTCATCAAAACTCAGTCTGCGGGGGTCATGTCTTTAAGATCATACAAATAGCAATGAAAAACAAAATGTGCAATTTGTGCAGAAGTCAGCATTTGTAATAATACAGAGTAAGAATAACTTAAGTTTTTCACTGCATTAGGTTACTGTTTCGGTTGTGCATCCACCATAAGTTTTTATTCAATATATCAAACCTTAGATATTTATATCACCTGTAGGTTTATTGTAATCTTCTAAAATAAAATAATGTAGTGCTGGAGAGCTTATAACATTAAACCAAATACTGTAACAGACAGTCATTGCAACATTTTGACAGTAATCAAAGGGAGAGAAATTACATTTCCAGCACTCTGGCAATCACGGACGTAATTTGCACCCCCCTGCACTTTTTTAAAAGGCCGTTTTGGTCCCCTGCAGTTTTTACCGTCCAAAAACAATGTTACACTATAGTAAACAGAGACAC